CAGACAGCCAAAACGGGCCGTGCCGCGTTTGTGGTGTCTTCTCAAGCACTAGCATCCGGGCGCCGCACTCGAGAGGGCCGAGGAGGCGACCGACACTCAGACTCACGCGACCCCAGCGGACAGAGGACGCGCACAGCCACAGAGAGAGCTTCCCTTGGTGGTGGCTTTACGTTTTAGTCGCGCGAGGATCGCCACCCTTTGCCCCACCAGCTTGTGTGTGTGGAGACGATTACCTTGCCTTACATGGCTACCTTCTCACGACGCGCTAGAGGTAAGCTCACTCGGACTTGCCCCCTGCCCGCTCCACTGGCCCTGCCGCCCTCCCTACTGCCGCCTCTGCCGCGTGCCTCGCCGCCTCCGCCGCCCGCTCCGCCGCGTCGGCGGCGCCTCGTGCCGCGGCCGCCGCCTCCGCCGCCGCCAGGCCGGCCGAATGCAGCGCCTCCGCCGCGTCGCGGGTTGCCTCCTCATCCGCCTCCTCATCGCCGCCCGCCGCTGATGTGGCCGGGACCAATCGATACCCAAGCCGCGCGGCTGCGGCGGCAAGCCCCTCCTTGGACGTCGGCGGCGTCGGCGGCGTCGGCGGCGCCTCGGCTCCCCAGCCGCCCGGGACCGGCTTGCTCCTCCGCGCGTCCGCGATGTTACGGCGGCGCTCCTATTCTCACTCTTCTTGTGGTAGTATGTTATTGTTATGTTATTCCTCCGCGCGTCGCCCATGTTGCGGCGTCGCTCCTCTGGGTCCTCGCTGATGCCATACACCTCGAGCACCGACGGCGCCGCTCGCTCCGGCGAAGGCAGCGGCGGCTCGAGCGGCGCAGCGACGACGAGAACAGCCTCGCCCTGCGCGCGTTCACTCGCACGCGACTCGCGCGGCGGCGCCCGCAGCTTGGCCCACCCCGCCAGCCATGTCTCGGCCAGCGGCACGCCCGAAGGCAGCCGGACGCCCCTCCATGACAGCGCCACACGCCCCGCCTCGAGGCCATGCAGCCTCGCCGCCTCGGCGCAGAGGTCGTCGGTGGTCGCGCCTGCGTCGAGCTCGACCTCCAACACCACGCCGTTGAAGGAGAGAGGCACGCGCACGGGCGGCGGAGCAGCAAACTCCTCGCACCGCCGCCGGAACTGCTCCAGCAAGCTTGGCGCGGCGTCACGTGTCGCTCCGTCACCCACTGCGTACCGCGTTGGTCGGACGCTTCTATCGCGTGCAGCGTCGTCCGCAGCGCGTCTGGCTAGCCACGCGGCCTTGGCTGATGCCTCAGACGGCGCCTGCAGCGCGTCGGCCGCGAGAAAGATGAACATGCACATGCATGTATGTGCATGCATGACATGCGAAGATGCGCGTATCGCGTGAGTTCCTTTCTTTTTTCTTCTTCCACCCCGCCGGGTGCAACCTGTCCTATACGAGAGAGGAGCGGCCGTCGGCGAGCACTCGGCCGCCGCCGACCGCCTTTCGCGCGGAGGAGATCTCGCCCCGCGTCTCGAGGCGACGCTTGCCGGGCTGCTTCGGTCCGATGCGCATCACGACGTGGGCGGATGAACGTGCGGTGGCCGGAGTGGCGGCGGCATGCGCCGCGCAGGCGCGAGCAGGCAGAGACAAGCGGCGCGATGGTGCGCGCATTGTCGTGTAGAGCTCTAGCAAAAGAAATAAGCGGCGAACGCGAGATTGGTCTTGTAGCGTGTGGGTGTGTGTTTGTGCGGGGCGGCGTAGGGCAGGGGCGCGCAGGGCGGAGGCTCGCAACGGTCATCGGCTCGTCGAGGTTGGAGAAGGGGAAGGCTAGGGGGATGAGCGGTCGGCGAAGTGTGCCTTTGTGTACTTGTGTGAAGACCCGAGGTGTCGCATCTCATTTGGTGCTCGCGGTTTCGTGACAGAGCTGGGACAGAAATCGGGCCTTCTCATCTATCGCAGCTTGAACATATTGAGTTGCAGCCTGCTGTCGAGCGGAAAGGCGGTAGAAGTCAGCCGCGTTGTAGGGCCTGTCCGGAAAGCCCTCGGGTCATGCACTCAGTTTTGACGCCTCGTGCGACATGAGCGCGGCCCATCCTCTCACATTTTTGAGGTCCGCCCGTTAGCTCCCGGCGTGCGACTGCGCGAGGGTGCTTGCATCACTAGTCCCTGGCGCATGGCACGCAGCCCGTCACGTCACCGTGCCCCCGTTCTGGTGATCCGGTTGATGACTGCACTCCAACGTCCAAGTGCTCCAAGTGCTTTAGGTCTTTTGAGTTTTGTGTGCGACCGTGCATGGTGCAAGTGTCGAGCGATTCCGTGTGTGCGAGTCTCGCTCGGCAAACCCGCTTATAACAAAGAAGGGGTCGGGACGCAGGACGGGCGTATGCGTGTACCCAACACAACACAGGTCTCAAACCCACACTACCTCCGCCTGTGTCTTGCCAACCCGGGCACAGCATGCGCGTTCCTCTCCTGCTCGCCGTGGTGACGGGCAGCATCAGCGCCCCCGTCAAGCAACGTGGCTCCACGGTGCTGTGGTGCGATCGTGGCCTCGACTCGCTCGGCCGCGCTGTCTGCCCAACTGAGTGGCTGTGGCGTGCCTCCAAGGGCATCACAGCTGTGGCCGCCACCACCTACCACATTGCCCATGACGGCACTTTGGGCGTGTGTGGCGATCACACGACAAAAAACGGCTCGGGTTACGACATGTGCACTTGGCGCGGCGGCTCCGCAGCCGGTGTCGCTGACTCGCCAGAAGAGCACCTGGCACGACTGTCCGCCGCATTCACGACGCTGGCCGTCGTCTACAACGACATGAGCACTGTGCAGGACCCTCTCGCCAACGTGGGCTTCGGTCTGCACATGCTTCGCAACATGATCGCGCGGGCGGATGAAGTCATCCCGGACCTGACGGCGCGCGTCTCTAAGCACAACATCGGCGGGGTGGCTTTTGACCTCGAGCTGTGCTGCCCAACCGCCGCTGCGCACAGCCCAGAGCTCGCCTGCGGCGGTGAGCATCCAACGGCCAAGGACCAGCACGACTACGCCGCATTCCTTTCGCAGCTCGGACATGCGCTGCACGCAACCGGCAAAGTCCTGCACGTGACGGTGCAGCGCTGCTGGATGGACGGTGGGGCGTTTGCAGCCGCCGTCCCAAGTGTTGACAAGTGGATCACGATGGACACTCTGGGCTGCGGCTCTCTTGCTGTGCCTGCGAAAGGTCTCTCGAATGCGCTACGTAGCCACGGCGCTCCCTCGCTGGGCATGGAGCTGGCGCGTGGCCCAGTTCGTGGCGATGGCCCTGCGGCCGGCATGTGCACTGCGTGGACGGGTGGGGATTTCTCTAGCCGCCTCAGCCTTGCCCTTGTCCACGGCGTCGACATGGTCCTTCTTTTTGCCGGGGCCGACTTCTTCTCCCCTTCGGAGAACAAGGCTGCAATGGAGGCCCCGATGCTGGACGCCCTTGCGTCATATCTCGCCTGCGAGGCGCATACCTGCCGCTCGTGCTTTGACTCCGCCGAGCGCTGCCCCGAATGCTGCGGCAATGTTGAGCTCGTCCGAGAGGCAAAGCGTCTTAAAGCGAAGGCGAGCCGCAGCCTCCTGTTCTCGCCTATGCGGTTTATTGGTTCGTCGGATTGGTCTGGCCCCCCGGTGAATTTGACTTCTTTGTCGAATTTGACTGCTTTTGCGCCGCTCGATAATTCGACGATCGATCTTTTCCCCCCATGGTTAAATAACTCGAACGCCGACTAATGGACACACCGCCATCACCATCGACATGATGGACCATGAGAGGAACGGGTGCACGGGAGGCCACGTACCGGACGGCTAAATATTGGGGGTCGGGCAGGGGTGGCGGGGGGGGGGGGGGGGGGTGCCCTCGCAAGTTGGTGCGTGCACCTCGATCCCTTGTCTCAGGTACTGTATATATCCATTCACAGCCACCAGCCTGTGAGCTGTGTGTTAGTGCCGGAGTAAGCGGCTTGTTTTACGCTTTATTTGTGCCCAGATTAGAGCCGTGTGGGGAGCGTGCGCGCGGTGGCGAGCGGGTGTGTCGGTCCGATCCTCTTTTTAGGGCTTGCGCATGCGCTTACATACACAGTAACTACTCGCTCGCTCCAACCCCCTCTCAAGACTCAACACCCGCCTCGGCGCTCGCGCTCCCGCACAGCTCGAAGCGTGGCAGACATCGGTACAAGCTCTGATGAACGAACGATGCTTCTTGCTTGGGGCGGCATTCAGACCAGAGGGAACGATAGAGCGGGTCAGCGGAGGGGAAGCTAGAGGGGAATGGCCTCCAGCTTAGCAATCACAAACTCAGAGCATGTGTCGTATCTCATAAAAACATTCTCGGGTGCGGAAGATGCGCCGTGTACAAGATCGGGGCAACTTCCAACTAGGGGCATGGACTAACAATTATCGGGATTGCACGGACGCTACGCTGCGAGATCGGAGTCATTAGCCTCACATATCCAGGGCCGGGGAGCTAAGAAGCGCACCCAGCGAGCCAGAGATGCTCGGGATCGGGTTACGGGCTAGAGAGCCCTAGCCCTGGAGACGTGTTAGCGACGGATCCCTAGCCCTGGAGATGCGACCATAACACGTCTCCGAGGGTTAGACCCGCGTACCAAGGTTCCCCTAAAACTGCAGGACGCCATTGCGAGGAGCGCCATTAGGAAACATTCGAACAAGGAAGAGGCGACGGGACAGGGTTTCTTCCTTTGGCCGCGTCGGGTAGCGAGCATTGGTGTGACGCGATCCATCCACGGACCACGCAGGCGTGTTTATTTATTGACGGCCGACCGTCAGTCAGTGCACGGAGTTGCCCCTTCTCCGACTGCCCCGGCTAGTTCCCGAGGTCGCGTCCCCCGAGACCTAGCGCGGGTGGGTTGGAAGGGGCTGCCTCGCGGACGATTCACTGAAGGGGCTAGGCGGCCTCTACGTGGGAAGTTTCGTGGTAGTTTTGGGGGCGGGCGGAACGCGACCGTTGACGAGGCAGCGCTAGCCCTAGGCAGCCATCACTCGTCCAGAAGCCGTCGAGCGTTCGGACGAGGAGCTGATGGACGACTCGGCGCTGCTCGAGCGGCAGCACGGCAAGGCGTCCCTCGCCTTCGTCTACCTCGCCTTCCTCTTCCCGGCAATGGCTGGCTTCCTTTTTGGCTACGATATAGGTGCGGTGCCATCGACTCACACACAAGCCCACCGCACGCCCACCGCACAATCATTCCATCGGCACCACACCCACTCCCTTGTCGCACAGGCTCAACGTCGGGCGCCGTCCGCTCGCTGCGGCTGCTAGTGGGGTTTGAAGCGAAGGGCATGTGGACGTCGGCCATCACCTCCGCCTCCCTCATGGGCGCCACACTCGGCAGCGTCCTCGCCTTCTGGGTCGGAGAGCCACTTGGCCGGCGGCGTGAGCTACTTGTCGGAAGCTCCCTCTACCTCTTCGGCTCGTTGCTCTGCGTTGCCGCGCCCGAGAGTGGCGCGGCTTACGGCGCCGTCTTCGCCGGCCGCTGGCTGTACGGCCTGGGGGTTGCATTCTCGATGCACGCGGCGCCAGTTTACATCTCCGAGATGGCGCCGTCGGCAGTGCGAGGCATGCTCGTCGGCGGCAAGGAGGGCTTCATTGTCGGAGGAATCCTCGCCGGGTTTGCAGCAGCGGCTGTCGGCGAGGCGGCACTTCCTGCCACATCTGTCTTTCGTGGAGTGTGGGCACTGCCGGTGCCTATCTCGCTTGTCATCTTTGGGGGTATGTGGCTGATGCCTCCCTCGCCGCGTTGGCTGCTACTCCGCGCTGCGTCCTCCTCCGCGAGGCAAGACCTCGAGGGCTCCCCTGTGCTCGACCCGGGCGGCAGGTCGGCGGCGCTCGCCGCGCTGAGCCGCTTCAGGCGGGGCTCCTCGCCGAGCGCCGTGGAGGCGGAGCTTGCGGCCATCGAGGCAACGCTGGCCGAGGTGAGCGTCGCGCGGGCGGGCTCGTGGGCGGAGATGCTCACGAGCCGGCGGGCGCTTCTAGCCGGACTCGGGCTCATCTCGCTGCAGCAGCTCACGGGCCAGCCCTCAGTCCTCTACTACCAGGATGCGATCTTTCGCGACGCTGGCTTTGGCGACTTTGCCTCAAAGGCAGGCGTCCTCGTCGGCGTCGCGAAGCTGGCGGCCACCGTTTGCTCTGTGGCGGCCGTCGACCGCTTCGGGCGCCGGCCGCTGCTTTTTGCGGGGATCGGCATGATGGCAATGGCATTGCTGCTCCTCGCGGTAGGTTTTCAGTTCAAGGTGCCAGGCGAGGCGCCGGGAGAGTACGTCCTCCCCCCCGGGGCATGGCCCCCAGTTGTGGTTTTCGCGCTGATGCTCTACGTATGCGGCTACCAAGTCGGTTTTGGCCCGATCGCGTGGCTGATCATATCAGAGGTGTTCCCGATTAAGACGCGCACGCGCGCCCTCTCGATGGCTGTCACCGTAAACTTCGGCTTCAATCTGCTGGTCACCTTCCTGCTCTCGCCGCTCCAGACCGCTCTCGACGCCCTCTCTCCGGGCAAGGGCTCGTCGTACTTGTTTGCGATCTACGCCGCCCTCTGCCTTGTCTCGTCCACCTTCGTGCACGCGTGCGTTCCCGAAACAAAAGGCAAATCGCTGGAGCAGATCGAGGCGATGCTGCGCTGAAAGACAGACCAGCCAGGCCAAGAAGCCGCCGGGGCCGCGGAAGTCCTTAACTTTGTCGTTGGTTCCGACGCTTGCAAAGCTGGGACGCGCCGGCGGAGCGGCCGTGTGGCTTGCACCCAGCCCCAGGTGCGAGGTGGAGGAGCGGCGCGTTGCGGGAGCGGCGGGCTAGCGCCGCTATACGTCGAACCTCGAATCGAGACGCCCCCAATATGTTTTCCTCGCGATATACATTACTACACAGTGGACGCAAGACACACTGAGCGAGATCACAAGAGATTACACGTGTCCGACTCTCTCTCCGCGTCGGCGCAGACAAAACCGCGACCACCCCGACTCGCCTCCACCACCGCTCTCTGCAATACACACGCCTCAACGCGTCCTCCAATCGCCGCGCTCTTCGGACAGGCTACAGCCGAATGTGCTCGAGGGCGCTGCTGCGGTGCCGCCCGCGCGGCTGCGGCAGCGGCTGCAGCGCCGGCCGCCGCTCGAGCCACATTGTCTCTGGCATCGAGACCGAAGCAGGCAAGGCGGCGCAGCTGCCCGCGCGCGGCGACGCGCTGCGGTGCGCCGACGCGAGCAGCGCGAGCGCCGGCGCCAGCTCCTGGCTCTTACGCAGCGGCCGCACGCTCGCAACGGCAGAGCGCCGCACGGCTCGCTCCGAAAGGAGGGCTGCCGCCGCGCCGCTCCCTCGCGCCTCCGCCTCCGCCTCCGCCGCCGCCTCGGCCGCCGCCTGGCCGTCCGCCTCCCCCTCCGCCGCCTCCTCGGCCGCCTCCTCCCTCTTCGCCTCGCGCTCTAGCTCGAGATTCAGCAGCTCGACCGAGCGGGAGCCCGGAGGCGGGTGCGCGGCGGCGGCGCGGCGGCGGTGGAGGGCGACCAAATCCGCGGAAGACGCGGCTTCGCGGCGGCCGCTGCCCCCACCGAGCCTCCCGTTGCGGAGTGGCTCCCTCGCCGCCCTCCTCTGCACGCTCGCCCTCGACGCGGCTGGCGCCTGTGGGTCGAGCGGCTGAGGAGGTAGCGGCGAGAGCCAGCTGCGGTACGAGGCCGCCCCCGCCGTCGCCGCCCTGCAGCCGCCAAACGGCGGTAGCGGCGGCTCTAGCGGCGGCTCCGGCGCCGTGAACCAGGCGTGCTGCAGCGCCTCGCTAGCGGTCGGGCGGCGGGCGGGGTCGCCGGTCAGCATTGCCCGCACGAGGCCCTTTGCGCTCGACGACACGTCCCTCCACGTCGCCGCGCCAAAGGTCCAGCGTCCGCGGAGCACGAGCTGCGCCTCGACCTCCTCGTCCTCGGCCGCAAACGGCTGCTGGCCAGACAGAAGCACGAAGAGGATGACGCCGATCGACCACACGTCCGACGCGAAGCCTAAAAAAGACACCCCGCGCAGCGATAAAACGAACACGCGCGCGGGCCACGTGCACCACCGTGCCCAGCTTGGACGCCGTGCTCCCTGCCGTCGAGCACCTCGGGCGCCATGTACCCTATCCACCGCCGAGAAGGAGTCACTACCCACTCGGACTCAGGCAGTCGACCACCTCGCCACGCCACGTCTCACCGCGCGTGCCGACGAGGCCGGGTAGCTCTGGCGAGGCTGGGTCGCCACCCTCGGCGTGCAACCCCGGCGAGGTGGGGGGCGCAAAATAGCCCCCGCCGCCCGCCGCGCCCCCCGTCGGCAGCGGCAGCACCTGCGCGGCGCCAAAGTCGCAGAGCCGCAAGTCGAGCAGGCCGCCGCGCCGGTCGAGCAGCAGCAGGTTCTCCGGCTTGATGTCGCGGTGCACCACCCGCCGGGCGTGGATGAAGGCGAGGGCGGAAAGGGCCATGCGCAGCAACGCGCGCACGCCCTCCTCCGTGTAGCCCTCCGCCGGCGCCCCGTTGGTCGGCTGCCAGCGCGCAACCACCTGTGCAAACAGGTCCCCGCCGGGCAGCAGCTCGAGCACGAGGTAGGCGGTGTGGCGAGCGTCGGCGAACGTCCCAATCAGCCGTACCTGGGTGGGTGGGTGGAGGGTGGGTGGGTGGGCAGGGCTCCAGGGGGGCAAGCCGGTGAGTGCGGAGTGCATGCGCGGGTGGTGGGTGGAGCGGGGCGGGCGGGGCGGGCTGGTGGAGCAGGGTGTGTAGAGTTGTAGGGCGCGCCACGTGAGGGTGCCCCTGCACCAGCCGGAGGACGGACGCCTACAGGAAAGCTCCAGGAAAGGTCCAAGAAAGGTCTCGGAAAGTGCCCCTGCACCAGCCGGAGCACGGACGCCTCTCGCCGCACCATGCCTAGCGCCTGCACCGGCCGCGCCACCTTCTTCACCGCGCAGAGCCGGCCCGAGGTCAGGCAAGTTGCGCGGAAGACGGTGGCGAAGGCGCCGCTGCCGAGCACGTCACCGAGCTTGAAGCGCTCCTCGCACCGGACAACGCCCGAAGGCTCCACGGCCAGCCGCGCGTCTACGATGCGCGTCGCCCACTCGTAGCAGAGAGGCCTCTGCCCGACGCGAGGAAGCATCATCCCGCTGCCGAGGTGGCCATTCCGCCGGCCAAGCACACTCCCACCCACCCCGCCGACACCAGCGCCGCCGCCGCTGCTGCTGCAAACGCCGCCATTGTCGCCGCCGCCGTTGCCGTTGCAGCTGCATTTGCCACAACCGCTGCCACCGCCGCCGCTGCCGCTTCCGCCGCTCCTCCTGTCACCGCAGCTTCCGGCTGCGCTCGTGGGGGAGGTGTCTGCCGGGCGGAGGCGGATGGCCTCGGGCGGGAGGATCAGCCGCCGGATGTGCTGCCGCGCCGCCTCGGGCGGGTCGATCGTCCACAGCAGCTCCGCGCGGCTCGCCTCGGGCCACAGCAGCCGCACGAGCACCACGGCGGCGAGCGTGGCGAGCAGCAGCGGCCGCGCGCCGAGATCACGCCGCGCGAGGCGCGAGGTGGTCGGGGGCGGGGCGCGTCTAACGATGATCCGGCGCGGAACCCGCCCAGGTCAGCCCGCGCCGCCTCCGCAACGGCAGCGGAGCCGAAGCGGCACGCCGAGAGTCACAGAGCAGGCTGCCCGACGAGCGGTCGGGCGCCGCACCGCGCCGGAGGGATGCATGGAGGAGATGCTGGAGCGTGGACGAGGCATAGCGGCGAGGGGGGCGAGAGCGAAAGCAGGCGGTGCGAGCAGCGGCTGGAGCGCCCGTCAGGCTGTGGGCAAATAAAGAATTTAAGCAAAACAACTAATAAAGAATGTTACGAAATAAAGAAAAATGAAACTTCCGCCCCGAAAAAAAGGGTTGGGAAATCGATAGGGAATGGGCTGGGAGCCCCAGAAACGGCCCTCTACTTTTTGGGGCTGGTGCGAGGCGAGGCGAGGCCTGTGTGGCGGCTTCCGGGAGGGGCTAGGAGAGGGGCGGGTTTGGCGGGAGAGGGGTCCGCGGGCGGCGCGAGCGGGCGTCCGGTGAGCGGTGTGGACGGGGACGTGCGTGGTTTTGCGAGCTTCGACCGCGGGGCGGCGCCGTGGCCGTCGGGAGGCGAGCGATCCCGCAGCTGCTGTCCCGCACTGTCTGCAGGCGGCCTGGCAGGCGGTGTCATGGCGCCCCGTGAGGTGCGCGGGGGAAGCCAGCGGCGCCGGGCCTGCCGCGCGGGGGCGGGCGGCGGCGGGGACGGCGAGATGGGCCCGTGCGAGCTGCTTTAGCACCCGAAATAAAGTCGGTCGTCCAAAGTTGAGCAGAGGGCCTGAAGATTTGCAGCGCGCGCGGGGAGGGTCGTGGTGGTCGGTGGTTTCATCGGACGAGGGCGATCCTGGGGGCTGCGGACATCTCCTGCCGATCCTCCGCACTCCTGTTGGTCGCGGGTTGCGCGGGTCGCTCGTGGGGCGGCGTGGGGTCCGTCCTCGCGCGGGCTCTGAAGCGAGGCGATTTTCGCCCTCCCGCGTCGACGTTTTGAGGGCCTTCCCGAGGGCTTCAGGCGGCGCGGGTTTGATGGAGCGGTAGCGCGGGGCGCGCTCTACCGTTTTCGCAAAAACAGCGTTTTTCGCGCGCGCCGGCGTCGCCCCGGGAAAGTCGTGTCGCTGCGCTCCACGACTTTCTCCCGGGCTCCGCCGGGGTGTGTGGTTGCGGCGGCGGTAATGACTCTCCCTCTCTCTCTCTCCTTTCTGCGCGCGCAGCGCGCGATTTTTTGGCGGGTGGGCCGTTTTTTATCGTTTTTTGAGCCCTTCTTTCGAGCCGTGGCGGGGGGCGTCTAACCCTAGCTTAACCCTAACCCTTACCTTCCCTCCGCTTCCGCCTCGGCCCGTAACCCTAACCTAACCCTGACCTAACCCTGACCTAACCCTAACGACACCCTCTCCAACCCTAACGGTGCCAGGGAGCGACGGACCTGCGCGGAGAGAGATGGCCCTGCGCGCCGGAGGCGATCGCGTGGCAACAAACGTGGCGTCGGCGAGAGGTGGAGGTGATGGCGGGAGAGATCGCCGAGCGTCACGGCGGCAATCTGTCGGCCGATGCGATGCCGCCGCCTCGCCGTTGCTCCTTGGCGCTCCTTGGCGCAGCGAGCGCTGGAGCGAAGACCTGGGGAGTCTAGCGTCAGAGCGGCGCGACTGCGCCATCGAGGTGGCAGCTGGAACGAGCGGCGCGAGAGACGGCAGACGCTATCCACTCCAGGTAGATGCGAAGAACCTAGTAGCGACAGCACGAACCGTGAGCCCGTGGGAGCGAGGGGAAGGAGCGTTGGTGCACTGTTCTCGAGCGAGGCAGGGCGAGAATGGGGAAGCGAGAATGGGGAAGCGATCCAGACGTGACAGAGGCGAAGGCGGCGGCGAAGGCGGCGGCGAGTGCAAGAGAGCGAGTCCGAGTCGCACGCACACGGAGATGCAACAGCTACGCAGTGGTGCGAACGGTGTGGAGGCGTTGCGTGGGTGCACGCTACACGCTCCTGCACGATCGTGTGCGAAGGCGAGCAAGCCGGCCCGCCGAAGAAGAATTTTTGTGCCAAGAAAATTATCGCGCGGAAAAAGCGAGAACCGACGCGAGATCCGTTGAAGGGATGAAGAAAAAGAAAAGAAACTCGCGCTGCCGCGAAGAGGCCTGTGCTCTCGCTCGTTCGCCCTCATTCTGACGGTCAGAACCGGCTCTCGCGTGTGCCTGACGCACAGGCCCGCCTGAGGCTGCACTCGTGCGGCGGAGATGCATTGCGGCGCGTCAAGCCGCGGCGGCGGCCGCCGCCGATACCACGACCGTGGAGTATGATAGGTGTGGCGTGGCGGTGGCGGTGGCGGCCGTTAGGGGCTGATTTGGTTGGAGACGGTGTGGCGACGGTGGCGTCTTCGGAAGGTCGTCTCCAACCTCACGGCGGCAAAAAGAAGCGCAGATGAAGCGGCCGCCGACCACACAGGGTTGTGCGAATAGGCGCTTCGCGAGGGCGTCGAGATGGCAAAAAATCGAGTTCACGCGTCTGAGGTGTGAAGAGACGCCGTTCACAGTCTGAGGTGTGAACAGGGCACACCGCATCACCGTTTTTCGCAGTGTGTGCTGCGCGTGTGCTTCTCCCCGTGCTCGCGTCTTCAGCGTGGCGCTCAGCGTCGCTTAAGCCGGGGAGATTTGGTAAAATTGTGGTTCGCGGTTGACGGTGTGAAGAGACTCCGTTCACACCTTTTGCTATGAATAGGGCTCGAGGCGCCGATTCGTCAGACGCCGTGCAAGGGGCATGTCGCACGTGTGCTGCGCTGCACGCTCGGCGCCGTTTGCACGGCGCGCAGCGCCCTTGGGGCGGTGAGAAGGCGGTTGCCGGTGTTCACGTGTGTTGAGGTGTGAAGAGGCGCCGTTCACACTTTGTGCTATGAACAGGGCTTGGCTCGCCGACTCGTGACGTGAGACGGCCTTGGCGGTGCGTGTGCAGCACGTGCTCCTCTGCACGCGCCGCGCTCTCTTTGCGGCGCGCAGCGCCGCTAGAGCGGTTTGACGGCGAAAAAATGACTTAGCGGTTTCGAGGTGTGAAATGACGGTTCTCACACTTTTCGACTCGGATAGGGCTCGAGGCGCCGTTTTATCAGACGCCGTGCGAGTGGCGTGTCGCACGTGTGCTGCGCTGCACGCTCGGCGCCGTTAGCACGGCGCGGAGCGCCCTTGGGGCGGTGAGAAGGCGCCGGATGGTGTTCACGGCTCGAGGTGTGAAGAGGCGCCGTTCACACTCTTTGCTATGGATAGGGCTCGGCTCGCCGACTCGTGAGACGGCATTCACCGTGCGTGTGCAGCGCGTGCTCCTCTGCACGCGCCGCGCTCTCTTTGCGGCGCGCAGCGCCGCTAGAGCGGTTTGACGGCGAAAAAATGACTTAGCGGTTTCGAGGTGTGAAATGACGGTTCTCACACTTTTCGACTCGGATAGGGCTCGAGGCGCCGTTTTATCAGACGCCGTGCGAGTGGCGTGTCGCACGTGTGCTGCGCTGCACGCTCGGCGCCGTTAGCACGGCGCGGAGCGCCCTTGGGGCGGTGAGAAGGCGCCGGACGGTGTTCACGGCTCGAGGTGTGAAGAGGCGCCGTTCACACTTTGTGCTATGGATAGGGCTCGGCTCGCCGTCTCGTGAGACGGCCTTCACCGTGCGTGTGCAGCGCGTGCTCCTCTGAACGCGCCGCGCTCTCTTTGCGGCGCGCAGCGCCGCTAGAGCGGTTTGACGGCGAAAAAATGACTTAGCGGTTTCGAGGTGTGAAATGACGGTTCTCACACTTTTCGACTCGGATAGGACTCGAGGCGCCGTTTTATCAGACGCCGTGCGAGTGGCGTGTCGCACGTGTGCTGCGCTGCACGCTCGGCGCCGTTAGCACGGCGCGGAGCGCCCTTGGGGCGGTGAGAAGGCGCCGGACGGTGTTCACGGCTCGAGGTGTGAAGAGGCGCCGTTCACACTTTGTGCTATGAATAGGGCTCGGCTCGCCGACTCGTGAGACGGCCTTCACCGTGCGTGTGCAGCGCGTGCTCCTCTGCACGCGCCGCGCTCTCTTTGCGGCGCGCAGCGCCGCTAGAGCGGTTTGACGGCGAAAAAGATGACTTAGCGGTTTCGAGGTGTGAAATGACGGTTCTCACACTTTTCGACTCGGATAGGGCTCGAGGCGCCGTTTTATCCGACGCCGTGCGAGTGGCGTGTCGCACGTGTGCTGCGCTGCACGCTCGGCGCCGTTAGCACGGCGCGGAGCGCCCTTGGGGCGGTGAGAAGGCGGTTGCCGGCGTTCACGGTGTGAAGAGGCGCCGTTCACACTCTAGTCTTTGCTATGAATAGGGCTCGGCTCGCCGTCTCGTGAGACGGCCTTCACCGTGCGTGTGCAGCGCGTGTTCCTACGCACGCGCCGCGCTCTCTTTGCGGCGCGCAGCGCCGCTAGAGCGGTTTGACGGCGAAAAGACTTAGCGGCTCCGAGGTGTGAAGAGACGGTTCTCACACTTTTCGACTCGGATAGGGTTCGAGGCGCCGTTTTATCAGACGCCGTGCGAGTGGCGTGTCGCAAGTGTGCTGCGCTGCACGCTCGGCGCCGTTAGCACGGCGCGGAGCGCCCTTGGGGCGGTGAGAAGGGCCGGACGGTGTTCACGGCTCGAGGTGTGAAGAGGCGCCGTTCACACTTTGTGCTATGAATAGGGCTCGGCTCGCCGACTCGTGAGACGGCCTTCACCGTGCGTGTGCAGCGCGTGCTCCTCTGCACGCGCCGCGCTCTCTTTGCGGCGCGCAGCGCCGCTAGAGCGGTTTGACGGCGAAAAAATGACTTAGCGGTTTCGAGGTGTGAAATGACGGTTCTCACACTTTTCGACTCGGATAGGGCTCGAGGCGCCGTTTTATCAGACGCCGTGCAAGGGGCGTGTCGCACGTGTGCTGCGCTGCACGCTCGGCGCCGTTAGCACGGCGCGGAGCGCCCTTGGGGCGGCGAGAAGGCGCCGGACGGCGTACACGGCTCGAGGCGTGGAGAGACGCCGTTCACACGTTTTGCTATGAACAGGGCTCGGCTCGCCGGCTCAAGAGACGGCCTTCGCGGGGCGTGTGCAGCGCGTGATCCTCTTCACGCGCCGCGCTCTCCACACGGCGCGCAGCGCCGCTAGAGCGGCTTGACGGCGAAAAAATGACTTAGCGGTTTCGAGGTGTGAAATGACGGTTCTCACACTTTTCGACTCGAATAGGGCTCGAGACGCCGTTTTATCAGATGCCGCTCAGTGGGTGTGCTGCGCGTGTGCTGTGCTACACGCTCGGCGCTGTTTGCGAGGCGCGGAGAGCGCCCTTGGGGCGGTGAGACGGCGCTTGACGGCGGTCACGGCTCGAGGTGTGAAGAGACGCCGTTCACACTTTTTCCTATGAACAGGGCTCGGCTCGCCGACTCACGAAACGGCCTTCACGGTGCGTACGTAGCGTGTGCTCCTCTGCACGTGCCGCGCTCTCCACGCGGCGCGCAGCGCCGCTAGAGCGGGTTGACGGCGAAAAAGACTCAACGGCTTCGAGGTGTGAAGAGACGATTCTCACACTTTTCGACTCGGATAGGGCTCGAGGCGCCGTTTTATCAGACGCCGTGCAAGGGGCGTGTCGCGCGTGTGCTGCGCTACGCGCTCGGCGCCGTTTGCACGGCGCGGAGCGCGCTTGGGGCGGCGAGAAGGCGCCGGACGGCGTACACGGCTCGAGGTGTGAAGAGACGCCGTTCACACTTCATGCTATGAACAGGGCTCGGCTCGCCGACTCGTGAGACGGCCTTGGCGGTGCGTGTGCAGCACGTGCTCCTCTGTACGCGCCGCGCTCTCCACGCGGCGCGCAGCGCCGCTAGAGCGGCTTGACGGCGAAAAGACACTTAGCGGCTTTGAGGTGTGAGGAGACGATTCTCACAATCTTTCGGACTCGCTTAGGGCCCGGGCCGACGATTTGTCAGACGCCGTTCAAAGGGTGCTGGCGCGTGTGCCGCGACTTACACGCTCGGCGCCGCTACCGTGAGCAGCGCCCTCGTTTGGGCGGCAAGAAGAGGCGCCGTGTAAGTTGGGGAGATGCGGGGAGATGTGGGCGAGTCGTGGCCTGACTCTCCTCTCCTCTCCTCTCCTCGCCTCTCCTCTCCTCTCCTCGCCTCTCCTCGCCTCTCCTCGCCTCTCCTCGCCTCGCCTCGCCTCTCCTCTCCTCTCCTCTCCTCTCCTCTCCGCTCCGCTCCTCTCCTCTCCTCTCCCCTCCTCTCGCTCCTCTCCTCTCCTCTCCCCTCCTCTCGCTCCTCTCCTCTCCTCTCCTCTCCTCTCCTCTCCTCTCCCCTCCTCTCCTCTCACTCCACTCCTCTCTCCTATCTCCGCTTCTCTCCCCTCTTTTCTCCTCTCCTCTCCTCTCGTCTCCTCTCGTCTCCTCTCGTCTCCTCTCGTCTCCTCTCGTCTCCTCTCCTCTCTCCGCTTCTCTCCTCTCCTCTCCTCTCCTCTCCTCTCGTCTCCTCTCGTCTCCTCTCGTCTCCTCTCGTCTCCTCTCGTCTCCTCGCCACTCCTCTCTCTTCTCCTCTCCTCTCCTGTGTCCTCCCCTCTCTGTCTCTTCAGTCATACCCGACCGAGTCGTGTTTGAAGGGGGCCGGGGGGTCACGTGGCTACGCCCCATGCCCCACCACCTTCGACTCTGTGCGGTGTTTGTGTAGCCGTTTGTGTGGAGACACGGGTGGGAGCCTCTTGGCCCCAGGCCGTGCCGCGGCCGACTTAGCCGATGTAAGAGGCTCCCGCTGATCTTAGACCGCGCAAGCACCCCAGCGTGCCTAGGCACACTTAGACCCGCTAGGCGTCGAGGCTCAGAACTTAGACTACTACCCAACCAGTATTTTCGACGCTTTTGCCTTTTGGCCCATATACTCGTGCAACAACCCGCGAGGTGGAGGAGCGGCGCGTTGCGGGAGCGGCGGGCTAGCGCCGCTATACGTCGAAACTCGAATCGAGACGCCCCCAATATGTTTTCCTCGCGATATACATTACTACACAGTGGACGCAAGACACACTGAGCGAGATCACAAGAGATTACACGTGTGTCCGACTCTCTCTCCGCGTCGGCGCAGACAAATGAAAACCGCGACCACCCCGACTCGCCTCCACCACCGCTCTCTGCATGGTGATCTCAGACACACGCCTCAACGCGTCCTCCAATCGCCGCGCTCTTCGGACAGGCTACAGCCGAATGTGCTCGAGGGCGCTGCTGCGGTGCCGCCCGCGGGGCTGCGGCAGCGGCTGCAGCGCCGGCCGCCGCTCGAGCCACATTGTCTCTGGCATCGAGACCGAGGCAGGCAAGGCGGCGCAGCTGCCCGCGCGCGGCGACGCGCTGCGGTGCGCCGACGCGAGCAGCGCGAGCGCCGGCGCCAGCTCCTGGCTCTTACGCAGCGGCCGCACGCTCGCAACGGCAGAGCGCCGCACGGCTCGCTCCGAAAGGAGGGCTGCCGCCGCGCCGCTCCCTCGCGCCTCCGCCTCCGCCTCCGCCGCCGCCTCGGCCGCCGCCTGGCCGTCCGCCTCCCCCTCCGCCGCCTCCTCGGCCGCCTCCTCCCTCTTCGCCTCGCGCTCTAGCTCGAGATGCAGCAGCTCGACCGAGCGGGAGCCCGGAGGCGGGTGCGCGGCGGCGGCGCGGCGGCGGTGGAGGGCGACCAAATCCGCGGAAGACGCGGCTTCGCGGCGGCCGCTGCCCCCACCGAGCCTCCCGTTGCGGAGTGGCTCCCTCGCCGCCCTCCTCTGCACGCTCGCCCTCGACGCGCCTGGCGCCTGTGGGTCGAGCGGCTGAGGAGGTAGCGGCGAGAGCCAGCTGCGGTACGAGGCCGCCCCCGCCGTCGCCGCCCTGCAGCCGCCAAACGGCGGAAGAGGCGGCTCTAGCGGCGGCTCCGGCGCCGTGAACCAAGCGTGCTGCAGCGCCTCGCTAGCGGTCGGGCGGCGGGCGGGGTCGCCGGTCAGCATTGCCCGCACGAGGCCCTTTGCGCTCGACGACACGTCCCTCCACGTCGCCGCGCCAAAGGTCCAGCGTCCGCGGAGGACGAGCTGCGCCTCGACCTCCTCGTCCTCGGCCGCAAACGGCTGTTGGCCAGACAGAAGCACGAAGAGGATGACGCCGATCGACCACACGTCCGACGCGAAGCCTAAAAAAGACACCCCGCGCCGCGATAACACGAACACGCGCGCGGGCCACGTGCACCACCGTGCCCAGCTTGGACGCCGTGCTCCCTGCCGTCGAGCACCTCGGGCGCCATGTACCCTATCCACCGCCGAGAAGGAGTCACTACCCACTCGGACTCAGGCAGTCGACCACCCCGCCACGCCACGTCTCACCGCGCGTGCCGACGAGGCCGGGTAGCTCTGGCGAGGCTGGGTCGCCACCCTCGGCGTGCAACCCCGGCGAGGTGGGGGGCGCAAAGTAGCCCCCGCCGCCCGCCGCGCCCCCCGTCGGCAGCGGCAGCACCTGCGCGGCGCCAAAGTCGCAGAGCCGCAAGTCGAGCAGGCCGCCGCGCCGGTCGAGCAGCAGCAGGTTCTCCGGCTTGATGTCGCGGTGCACCACCCGCCGGGCGTGGATGAAGGCGAGGGCGGAAAGGGCCATGCGCAGCAACGCGCGCACGCCCTCCTCCGTGTAGCCCTCCGCCGGCGCCCCGTTGGTCGGCTGCCAGCGCGCAACCACCTGCGCGAACAGGTCCCCGCCGGGCAGCAGCTCGAGCACGAGGTAGGCGGTGTGGCGAGCGTCGGCGAACGTCCCAATCAGCCGTACCTGGGTGGGTGGGTGGAGGGTGGGTGGGTGGGCAGGGCTCCAGGGGGGCAAGCCGGTGAGTGCGGAGTGCATGCGAGGGTGGTGGGTGGAGCGGGGCGGGCGGGGCGGGCGGGGCGGGCTGGTGGAGCAGGGTGTGTAGAGTTGTAGGGCGCGCCACGTGAGGGTGCCCCTGCACCAGCCGGAGGACGGACGCCTACAGGAAAGCTCCAGGAAAGGTCCAAGAAAGGTCTCGGAAAGTGCCCCTGCACCAGCCGGAGGACGGACGCCTACAGGAAAGCTCCAGGAAAGGTCCAAGAAAGGTCTCGGAAAGTGCCCCTGCACCAGCCGGAGGACGGACGCCTGCAGGAAAGCTCCAGGAAAGGTCCAAGAAAGGTCTCGGAAAGTGCCCCTGCACCAGCCGGAGCACGGACGCCTCTCGCCGCACCATGCCTAGCGCCTGCACCGGCCGCGCCACCTTCTTCACCGCGCAGAGCCGGCCCGAGGTCAGGCAAGTTGCGCGGAAGACGGTGGCGAAGGCGCCGCTGCCGAGCACGTCACCGAGCTTGAAGCGCTCCTCGCACCGGACAACGCCCGAAGGCTCCACGGCCAGCCGCGCGTCTACGATGCGCGTCGCCCACTCGTAGCAGAGAGGCCTCTGCCCGACGCGAGGAAGCATCATCCCGCTGCCGAGGTGGCCATTCCGCCGGCCAAGCACACTCCCACCCACCCCGCCGACACCAGCGCCGCCGCCGCTGCTGCTGCAAACGCCGCCATTGTCGCCGCCGCCGTTGCCGTTGCAGCTGCATTTGCCACAACCGCTGCCACCGCCGCCGCTGCCGCTTCCACCAGCGCCGCCGCTTCCACCACCGCCTCCGCTGCCGCTTCCACCACCACCGCTGCCAACGCCGCTGCTGCTGCTCCCGCCACCGCTGCTGCTGCTCCCGCCACCGCCGTGGCCGCCATCGCCATCGCCGCCGCCGCCGCCGCCGTCGTTGCCCTCTCCGCCGCCGCCCTCTCCGCCGCCGCCCTCTCCGCCGTTGCCCTCTCCTCCGATCAGCCGAGTGATGTGGTCGTGCGTGCTTTTCCTACGTGCTGAAGACACCAAAATCAGGGCGGTCTTGGGCCGTGTCATCGCGTGAGTACGAGGGATGAATACGGCGGAGTACTTGTCCTCTTGAGCGCTGGTTGGGGTACAAGGATTGCGTATTCCGCTTCTAGGGCCCGCTGCTCCTGCTCACGAGATACGGGGAGATACGGGGGGAGATACGGGGAGATATTCCGCGTCTAGGGCCCGCTGCTCCTGCTCACGCCGCCGCCGCCAGCGACACCGCCGCCGACGCCGCCCGAGAGGCCCTCGACCGTGCTCCCGACGGCGGCGCCCCTGCTGCCCTCACCGCCGCCGCCGCCCTCACCGCCGCCGCCGCCGCCACTGCTGCTCTGCGCTGCGCTCGAAGCCTCACCCGAAGAGCGTGGAGCGCCTCCCCACCGCAGCAGCGCGTCCGCGGCGACCGCCGCTCGGCCAGAGGGCGGCCTGATCAGTGCCGGCAGCGCCGCGGCGTCTGCAAACCAGAGCCGCAGCGGCCGCTCGCGCGCTGCGATAGTCAGCGCGTCGTCGCCTCCGGGCTGAACCACCGGCCCGAGCGTCGAGAGAGCGAACCGCTCCGTCGGCCGGTGCCCGCGCGCGTACCCTCGCTGGCTCCGGTAGGCGAGCAGCTGCGTCGGCGTGAGGACGAGCCACCTAATGGAGCAGTTCTCACGTAGCGGCTCCGAACATTTTCCGCAAGCGGTCGCAGCGGCGCAAGAAGTTGGCACACGCGCTGGAAGTGTCAATGGTGAGAGGGCTGCGTGCGTCGGCCGGCGCAGGTTTTGAAGTGCTTGCATGGTGTGGGGGCTCGAGAGTGCGGTTGGCACCGCTTGCGGTGGCAGCGGCACCACGCCGACTCCTTGAGACACCACGACTCGAAGAGGACAGTCGGACCGCCACCCTGGCTAGTGGAGCCGCGAGCGGCACCGCCGTATAAACCGCTAACTGCCGCACATTGCGGCATGCCCTCGGCACCGCGCATGCACCGCGCGAGTGTGCCGCCGCGGCTCCAAGCGCATCTTATCGAAAAAAGAATTTAAACAAGGCAACTCTCTCTCACAGCAGACAGGCTCGACACAGGTGCGAACTGGCGCGTGCTAGTACTATCACCGGCACACCACCGGAGCAAAAAGAATTTTGAAGTAAACGTCCCTCGCACGACAAGAATTGCATCCTTTCTGTCTTTTCATTCTTTTAGCCCCGCGATTTAGCAAGCCCTGTGCAGCGTGTCTTCGGAAATTAAAACGAAATCAGGGCACGGGACGCGGCACAAACGGGGCACGACGAACCCTGCCTCCTCGATGGGGCAGCGATTCGGCTGCTGGCGTCGGCGATGGCGGCGGTGCGGGCGTATGAGAACATCGAGGCGCGTCCCGTCGCTGCCGGGCTGGTGGCGATGTCCGGGACGTGCGCTCCTGCCGGGACGTGCGCTCCTGGGCGGAAGTCTGCGCGGCGGCTCGCGAGAGGGAGTTCGAGATCTTGGCTCGCGATTCGGCTCGCGCGGCGGCGGCTCGCGCGGCGGAGGCACTCACCCACTAGCCTGCTCGCCCGCGGCCCACTCACTACGCGCACTAACTTAGTGCGCGGGGTGGCGGGAGGCACGAGACATGTAGCATGCAGCATGCAGTCTGCATAGAGAGCATCTGCACCATACAGACCCTCTCTGCACACACAAGTGCACTCTTGGGTGGGATTCTGTATTCCGCACCTGCATTGTGCATTAGCCCCGCGATATCTTATCGAAAAAAGAAATTTGACATTGACAAAACTCCCTGAGTTGTGCCCAGGTTTGTATATTGCCCAGCGACGGCGTCTCGTCTTAATTGCCATTATTGAAGAGACGTCGCTCACAGCTCACAGCAGGAACAGAAAATAAAGAACCGACTGGACTCACTGAAATGGTTCCAGTCAAAGCCCTCCCCTTCACCGTGGCCACGTACGCGCCGTGCCCGTTCGCTATGCACTGGGCGCTGCTACCGGCAGTGGGCGACTCGCTTCGGGTGCCGTTGCCGCAGCCGCCGCCGCCGCCGCCCGCCGCGGGCGTCGGCGTGAGGAAGGCGGGAGCGGATCGAATGGTGGGCAAGTCGGTCAAGGCGCCGTGGACGCGCCAGGAGGACATCATGATCCGCGATGGCGTGCTCCAGCGCGGCTTCAAGTGGACCGCGATCGCGAAGTCGCTCCCGCACAAGCGCTCGGCCGACGCGGTGCGCAACCGCTGGCAGAGGCTGCAGTCGCGCCGACGAGGGACGCCGCCGCCCGCGCTGATGCGCCCCAGGTCGGACGGGGAAGCCGACTCCGAGGGCGGCGCGTCCGCCGAGGGCTCTGGCGACGGCGCCGACGTCGGCGAGGACTTTACCCCCCCCGAGGTGGAGAAGCACGGCGACATGTGGACCGAGGAGGAGGACTCGATCATCGACAACGCGGTGGCGCAGCGCGGGCCGTGCTGGGCCGCCATCGCCCAGCTGCTGCCCGGCCGCACTTACTCCGGGTGCCGCAACCGCTGGGTGAGGCTGCAGGAGCGGCGCCTGGCCGCGGCAGGCCTGCACGTCAAGGGCGCGGCGCAGGTCCGCCTCACTCCTTCGCACCTTCCTTCCGCCGCCTCGGCGCACCTTGGCCGAGCCGCCCGCCCTCCCTCAATTTACGGGGGTTGCGGAGAGGCCGACACGCCCCCCCCCCCCCCCCTCCCTCCCTTTCAGGTGACCGAGGTGCTGCGCAGGCTGGGCTTCTCGTGGGGGAGCGACGCGAACGCCACCGACGTGGCGGTGGCCGCTCAGCGTGGCGTCGATCCTCACGCTTCTGCTGGCGTGGCACACCTGGCGGCGGCGGCGCAGCTAATGGCGGCGGCGCCATGGGCGGCGCACTGGCATCCCGGCGCAGGCGAGGCGGCGTGAGACATGAGAGGCCGACCGAGTCGCTACGTTTGTGTGACGCCGTGTTCGCCCCAGGCTCGGGGGCGTGAACCGTCGTGGGTCAGAGGGGGTGTGGGGGAAGGGAAAGGGCGGGGTGGCGGCGGGTGTGCACACGACCACCGGAGGGGGGGAGGGGGGGGGGGGGCGAGGGGCATGGACGGAGGGCGTGTGGGGCGGGGCAGCCTCCGCTGCTCATTCGGGGGTTTCGCTTTCTGTGCGCTCAGATTCTCTCTGTTACAGAGTCTCTGTCTTCAAAAAAGACTTTCCCGTGGGACTCTTCTTCTAGAGACGAGCGGTCTCGACCTTCTTGGGCAGCAGCTGATTGTGCGAGTGGCTGTGGCCCAGCCGGAAGCTGCTGCCACCTCAAACCCCCGGAGGCCGTTTACTTGCTTGCTCTCTTTCTGTGGACGCTGAGCTCCGAGACGGGGCTGGAACGAATGGATCGAAAGCGCGCGCGTTTGGTTTCGGGGTGCTTTCCAGAAGCCGTTCACACAGACCTCGAGTTCGAGGTGCATATTCTTCGTTGGGTAGCGAGGATTGGTGTAACGTGATCCACTCAGGCGTGTTTTCTCACGTCCGGCCGTCAGTGCGCAGAGCTGCGCTTTCTCCGACAGACCGACTGCCCAGCGACGGCCCCAGGCTCTCTCGGCTACGGGACCGGCCCCAGCTTCGGCTGAGGGCTGACAAGCTGCCGAGCCCAATCGCAGTGCGAGTCGTGATTTCTTGTTGGAGCCAGTCCCGTGCCCAGTGTTGTGCGAGGGAGCTTTGTTGTAAAATTCTTGTTGGTTGCCGTGAGAGTTTTGACATGTAAAATTCCTGTTGGTTTTCAAAATCTCTTTCTCTGCACTCTGCCCCGGAGAGAGAGAAGCACATTTCTTGTTGGCTTCTAAGAAACAAACAAAAAACAACAACTGCCCCGGCTACGTCTAGGTAGGAGAGAGTCTCTCTTTTTTTTTTGAGTCTCTCTCTAGGTAGGTAGTAGTTGGGCCCTCTGAATGCCAATCTGTGCGTCACGCCATGTGGGTTCCGCCTGACGCTTCTTTGAGAAACGAGGAAAAAGAAAGCAAGCGAGTTTGTGCTGTACCCCACAAAAGACCTAAATAGCGCATCACACCCTCCTCTCCTTAAAATCCCTGTGTGGTGGCGGCGTGCCGTTCTCCCATCCCTCCCTTGGGTTGTGTGTTTTCTTTCTTTCTTTCTTTACAAAAGACCTAAACGTTCATTCACACCACTGCGCACGTGAGTGAGGACGTGAAACTGCTCACTGGGCACGTAACTGGGCACGTGACACTGGCACGTGACTTGCGCACCGGCACCGATTTGCACAACACTGGGCACGTGACTTGCGCACCGGCACACGGGGGGAAAGAATTCACCGGGAAGAGTCTGTACCCCCCTAGGTCTGCACTCGCGCGCCGGTCTGCTCTCGGCGCAGTCGTGCCCAGATGTTGACCCGCCTCCTCTCACTCCTCCTCTCCGCGCCCGACCTCATCGCTGGCCACGGCTCGATGGCCGTGCCTCCGCCGCGCGGGATGCACGGCAGGCCCATCGAGTGCTTCACTAAGAAGGGCGGCAAACGGTACTGCAATGCTGGGTGCCCCGAAGAGAACTGCCTCTGGTACCAGGTCGGCTGCATGGTCGGATGCGACGACTGCTCGCTCGAGGGTAAGCAGATGTGGCCGACCCCGGCCGACGTGCAGTGTAAACGCAACGGCTCCCTCGTCCCGCCCGGCAAGACACCATTCCCAATCCCGCGCACGGTGCCTGCAGAGGCGCGTTCGTGGAACCTAAAACTGCGGAGCCCGGCCGGCGATTTTACCGCATACATGCCTTGGGCTTCGCCGGGAGCCTCGCCGGTCGCTGACCCGTGTGGCGTGGCATCTGGCTTTGGAGCGTCGGCGCACACGCCGAGCTACGTGCACGCGCCAAAGGGGTATCGCGTGGGCGAGCTTGGCTCGCGTGTCCTCGAGCCGCTCCCCACCAAGACGGTCGTGCGTGCGGGCGGGACGCTTGAGACGGGCTTCGGCGTCAAGGTGAACCACGGTGGCGGCTACTCCTTCCGCCTGTGTCCCGCGGGCTCGCCACTGACCGAGGCACGCCAGCCCACTGCCGCCGCTGCTCTCCTCTGCAGCTCTGTGCCGCCGCTACCCTCCATCGCAAAACCACACAACCATCGCTGCCCTCCCTCGCTGGCCTCACCGCCGCTTCCCTCGCCGCTCCAGGCGTGCTTCCAGAGGCGCTCGATCTGGTGCCTCCGCGATGTCCTGGAACCTTCCGACGAGCCCTTCCAACTCCTCCCCCCCGTAGTCACCCGCTGGCGTTCGCCTCCCCCAACCACACCGTCTCCTTCGTCGACGGCTCGAGAGCCAACCTGTCGCTGCCCGCACTCACAGTCTCGCGGGGTGCGCGCTCACAGCGCCCTCCCGCTCACGCCGCCCTCCTGCTCACGCCGCCCTCCCACGACCGCGCGCTTTGACGCGTCGCCGCCGCCCACCCCGCCACCTGTCACCTGTGCCTGTGCCTATTGCGCCCCAGGCACCACGCCCGCTCGGTCGCAGTGGCGGTGCGTGCCCCCTTCCCCCGCGTGCAGCTGCGATGTGGAGCCGTGCCGGAACCTTCCCGGAGCCTTCCTGCAGGCGGCTTCCCTTCCCCGCGTGCAACTGCGACCTCGGAGAGGGCTGTCACGCGGGCGGCGGTAGCGCCGGTGGCAATGGCGGCGGCGGCGGCAGCAGCAAGGGCAACACGGCCGGCGGCGAGGGCGGCGGTAGCGAGGGCGACGGCGAGGGCGGGGGTGGCGCACGGGGCGGTGACGGCGGCACCGCCCTGCTGCCGAGGCGCGTCCTGAGGGAGGCGGGAGGCGGTGCGGCGGCGGCGAGGCTTGCGCGGGAGGACGCTTGGGCGTGGGAGGCGGCGGAGGAGGCGGTGGCGTGGGGCGCGCAGCGGGCGTACGAGCAGCAGGACAGCCCGCCGCAGAGGGGAGCGGGTTGGGGGTTGGCGCTTGCGAGCCTTCTTGGAGCCTTCCCCTGCAGGAGGACCCGCCGCCGCGCTGCCCAACGGGCACTCAGTTTGCGGTGCCGGCCGACGACTTGTATGGATACGGCGACCTGCCTCCCGTGCTGGTCACGGATTTGCTGCGTGTGCCCGCCGGCTTGCGGGGCGACTTTGTCCTCTCCTGGCGCTGGGACTGCGAGCAGACAGACCAGGTGTGGAGCACGTGCGGTGCGCACGCCCCGCACCGCCCCCTCTCTCCGCATGCGCGCCCTGACAGGCTGACCCCCTCTGCCACCCTCTCTCACCCTCTCTCCACACCCTCCGCCGAGCAGCCGACGTCACCATCGTGGCCTGATTTGCAGCTCCGGCACCTCTGCCCCGTACTGCACCGCTGCCACACTTGAGTTTCCTCCGAGCCCGTGTATCTCTGCGTCGACTCCACCAGACGGTTGTACCTCCTCGCTTGTACCTGTGCCACACAGTTGTACGTCTTTCCGTTCGTGCCTCGTGCCTGGTGACTCGTAAAGGGAGAGGACACTTGAGAGGACCCTGAGTTGACCAGGGGTTGTGCGCTGGGCCCTCCTGCTCGGCTCCAGCCAGTAGACAAGTCTTGTCATCAACAGAGTAGAAGGATCTGACCTCGGGGCCGATGTGACCAAGCGCTGGTAGCGTGGTTTAACCTCACACCCATGGTCTCACAGTGTGCCGGCAGTCGCCGAGCAGTGTCGCTCACACAAGCCGCAGCACAAGTGACTGAGGGCCAGTGAGGGCGAGCCCATCGCTGTCACAGCTGTGGCAGCCGCACAATAGGCTGTGTCAACTGTGCAGAGTGTGTGAGCAGCAGAGGAGCTGCTCTCCAGGCTTCTGTCGCAAAGAGCTGCATGCCACCGAAAGCGCTGTCGAGGTTCGCCGAGCGCGGCGCAGGTTGAGGGAAGCCGCCACCGACGAGCGCGTTGGACTTTTCACTCCGGACAAAGACGGGCACACAGCGGACGGTGCGGGGCGTGTGCCCGTCATAGCGGCGAGGCGCGGGACCGTCTGTGGCGAAGTGGGTCGCGTCCCTCGATTTCCTCAACTCACGGTCCTCTCCCCGTATGTGCCTTCATGCTATCTCCTCACTCCTGCTCTACCTGCTCGGGTCCAGACCAGGCCGCCGGGCCCGCACATAGAGCATGATCACGGAATAGAGCATGATCGCGGACACGCGGAGCCGAGCCACGCGTCACGCAGCAGCCCTGAGGTGCCCTGAGCACACATGCAAGTGCCCATGGTCATATCTCGTCGTGCACTCGCCTGACAGTAGTTTGCGGTAGACCGGTAGACCGCCGCAGCTCATGTCGTCGCACCGGCGCAGTTGGCCAAGGTGTGACGGCAATATTTTCTTATAATTTGTGAAACACATTTCTGTAGTTTGAAAGACGCGAAATCTATGGGAAGGTCATGGGCTGGCGATGCAGCGGTGCCGGCACCTTCCCTCTCCCAGCCTCTGAGCTTCTCCCACGCGACGGATCTTCAGCTGCAGCTGCAGATGTACCGTGGCAGGCCCGTATTATCTGGGTCGCTCACATTATCGACACATACGACCAGTACGTCGACGGAAGTGTGCAAGAGAGAGAGTTCGTTGGCTCGCGGCTCGGGTAAGAATGCCGAGCTCGCTGCTAGCCAGCGACTACGGCTCTAGTACGTAGTAGCCCGGTGACCCTCGCGACTTCTTGTGAGCTTGCAAGTCGCTTCGCATCTGAGTCATCTTCCTTGAGTAGGAGGGATCGTCGGCGCGGTTCAAGTTCTCCTGCAGGGATACAGGCCGGGAGCCCTTAGCGTGCTGCATGTTGCCTCTATCTCTCTACGCGTAGCGGAGGCATCGTCATCATCATCATCATCTTCATCATCTCTCTCTCTCTCTCTCTCTCTCTCTCTCTCTCTCTCTCTCTCTCTCTCTCTCTCTCTCTCTCTCTCTCTCTCTCTCTCTCTCTCTCTCTCTCTCTCTCTCTCCCTCTCCCTCTCTCTCCCCCTCTCTCTCTCTCCGCGCGCCAGAGGATCCTCTGTAAGACATGAAGTCCGTCGATCCTCTTACAGGTGTGGTCGTAGTACATGAAGTCCGTCGATCGAAGAGGTCACCCTGCACGACTGCCTGCACGTATCGATGGTCCAACAAGTGTGGCTGCAGTACTCGGAGAATTGCTCGTCCTCGTAACGGATTGTGTCGCTGTCGAGGTACCTATGCGTGCCGTCACTCCGCTTTCTTAGGTGGCGAATGGGGAAATGCAGGCCCGAAGTTGCTCTGATGCCGCGCGAAACGGCCTTTCGCGACGGAGAAGGTTCGGCTCCATCAGCAGCGGCAACAGTGATGTGCCTTGCACGTGCGACGGCGCAGGGACGCCGATGAGGTCGAGGATGGTCGGGTAGAGGTCGATGTTCTCCACCATAGCCGGAACGCGCGCTGGGGAGTAGCCGGGCGCCTTGATCATCATCGGCACATGCAGGTCCGTCTCGTACATCGAGTGCTTGGCCCACGACCCCTTGTTGCCGCGTTCGCATGTTCCAGTACTGCTTCGGGCACACTGTTGCGGCTGCCGAGTGCCACCCCCGGGGGGGAGGGGAGGGGCGGCTGATAGCCGACCTTAATCGTCATCTTGCCGTCGGGATATCGCCACTTGTCCTCCGGCCCCTCTGCCGCCTCCGTCGCCGGCCGCGTGCCTTGCTGAGTGGTGCGTAAAGATGAAGTGAGAACAGACAGGGCGGTGCTGCGCGGGCGTGAGAAGGGGTGGGAACCGGGCGGTCAGTAGGCGCACATTGTAGAGCTGCGATCCGACGACCCGCGACGAGTTGAATGAACGGTTGATCATCGACGTAGCCGCACGTGCCGAGCGAGGCACACTCGTGGACCTCGCTGGTGTAGTTCGTGTAGCTGTGCGACCCGGTGATGTCGCCCGCATTCGGCTTTTCGTTCAGGCGAAGGGCTTGACCATCCTCCCGGAAGGGCTTGTCACGTGCACACGCTCGGGAGTGGGCAGGGATCGACATGGCGGGTGAAGTAGGCGTTTGGCGGCGCACGCCCTTGCTATCCGCCGCTATCGACTCGGGCTCCACCGAGATCGACTCGGGCTCCGCCGATATTGACTACTCCGCCGACATCCAAGGAAGAGTCGAAGAAAACCCCGCTGGGACCCGGACGCCAGCACAGGAGTGTGGTGACACACACTGTATGTATGTATGTAGAAAGATGAACACACTGTGGTGCGAGCGTCGCCCACACTGGCGTTCAGACTTTTTCTTTTTGAGCTTAGCCTTCGATGTTATGAAAACAAACGCAAGGCTTACATGGCATATCGCTCTCGGGCTCACAGACATCCCTTACACCCGCGCACACCCGCCGCCCCCGCGCGCGCCCCACCCCGGCCGGGAGAAAGGGGAGTGACAGTTTGGGACTCGCAAGCCCGAGTATGTTGAGTCCTGGCTCAACAACGCAGATAACAAGAGGGGGTGGTCCGGCTCACAGGTCCGACTCACGCGCTTTTTTCTTCGTGCTTTTTCTTTTTTTTGAGCTTAGCCTTCGATGTTATGAAAACACGCAAGGCGCACATGGCATATCGCTCGGGCTTTTTCTTTTTTTGACTCGCTTCAGCAGAGCCATGCCTGGTGCTTCATCTCCCGCGACGGTCCCGCCCGACCCGACCTTCTCCAAAGGCGACGTTGTGAGAGTCGAAAACCTGAAGAGCCGCCAAGACCTCAACGGGCAGCAAGCGACGATCCTTGGCTTCCACGAAGCCAGCGGCCGTTACATGGTGGCAGTCGGGCCGACCGAGGCGATCAGGCTGCGCTCAAGCAATCTGCAGCTGGTGCCGCACCTTTTGAATCTGCCGCCCGAGGTGATTGAGCAAGTCGGCCTATGGCTGCTCCGTCGCGACCCTCCGAGCGTGCTGCGTCTGCTGCGCACCTGCCAGCACGCGCGTTTCCTGTGCAAGGCGCTGCGCGAGTGGGTGCATCTGCGCCGCCTGCGCTGGCTGGACGAGGCCGAGCCCGCGGACGCGCCGCCGTTCATGCGCGTCTTCGGCCCTCCGGTGGGCAACGGCGAGCCACAGGCCGTGCAACGCTGGCTTGGGCCTGCGGAGCTCCATGCGCCGCGGAGGGCTCCAAATCAGGGCCACGAGGGCCTCGCGTCCGACGTCACGCTAAGCAAGGACGGGCGCACAGTGCGTCAGCAGAAGGGCAATGGCGCTGGTTGGGTGGCCGGCCCACCGCTGCCGGGCAAAGGGACCATCGCGTGGACAGTCCGCCTCATCACCGACGACTGGACAACGGTGAGTGTGGGCGTGAGCTGCGAGCGCATCGGCATGAGCTGGGCACTGTATCTGGCTGGCGGCTCGCTGCGGTGCCTCTCGCGTGGGCCGGAAGGGTTTGGCTACTGGCGCACGTTCTCGCCGCCGCCAGCCGGCTATCCGTTCGGCAACGGAAACGCGATCCACTTCAACAAGGGTGGTAAACCTGGGCCGCCCGCTTGTGGCGCCGGCACAAGGAATACATTTGTCGCTGTGGCAAACGCGCCCAACGGCAAAGAGCTGCGCCATTGCCGCGCCGCTGGAGCCGAGCGGCTCCAGGCAGACGTCGAGATCATTTGGGACGCCAACGGTTCGCAGCTCTACATGCGCGTGAATGGGGGCGAGCTGATTGGCCCACGTTATGCGGACGATTCTTCGGGCCCCTCACACCAGCCGTTCGTTGTCGGTGGCTTCCCGCGCGGCGTGCGACTTCGCCCGTGGGTTGGGCTCCAGGGCGCTCGCGATGAAGCCACAATCAGCCCGTGTTGGTATGAGGCAGGGCCTTCGCTGCGCGCTGCCCTCCGGGAGTTCCTGGCCGCCGCCGGAGCCCGTGAGCAGCGCGAGCAGCGTCATGCGGTGCCTGAATCGACCGGGCCGCAGGACAGCGACTCTGGATTGAGGGCGGCGCGGCCACCGCCAGGCGCGCATGGTGCCAGTGGTGCAGGCGGCGCCGGCGCGAGCGTGGATGCCGCGTACTTGTATTGAGTGATCTAGCAGCTCTAAATTATCAGAGACATCCATAATTCTCAGAATCTCTTTGTTGTCAACACGCGCAAACAAAAGTCGGAGCACACCCTGCTCTTACGGGGTGTGGACCGTGAGTTGACTCCAGGGGTTGTGCGCCGGGCCCTCCTGCTCGGCTCCAGCCAGTAGACAAGTCTTGTCACTAAGAGAGTAGAAGGATCTGACCTCGGGGCCGATGTGACCAAGCGCTGGTAGCGTGGTTTTACCTCACACCCATGGTCTCACAGTGTGCCGGCAGTCGCCGAGCAGTGTCGCTCACACAAGCCGCAGCACAAGTGACTGAGGGCCAGTGAGGGCGAGCACATTGCTGTCACAGCTGTGGCAGCCGCACAGTAGGCTGTGTCAACTGTGCAGAGTGTGTGAGCAGCAGAGGAGCTGCTCTCCAAGCTTCAGGCGCAAAGAGCTGCATGCCATCGAAGGCGCTGTCGAGGTTCGCCGAGCGCGGTGCAGGTTGGAGGACACCGTCACCGACGAGCGCGTTGGACTTTTCACTCCGGATAAAGACGGCGACACGCACACGAGCTGCGGCCGTTTCGCCGTCATAGCGGCGAGGCGCGGGACCGTCTGTGGCGAAGTGGGTCGCGTCCGCCGATTTCCTCTCACGGTCCGCCCCCTTTACGCTTCACCGAGCTGCCGCCGAGCTCACATCTGGAGCTCAAACCCACCCTTCCCGCTTGCTGCCGCCTTTAGGGCGTCTTTCGCGGCGTCACCCAACTCCTTTTTTTGGAGTTTTTTTATGTCTGCCGGCGCGTTTTCTTCTTTCTGGCGGCATGAGCGGCGCCAGCCGAGCCCTGCTGCCCGACCTGGCGGTGGGCGACCTGGCCGCGCTGCGCGCCTTCCTCTCCGGGTGTGGGACGCGCGGCACGTCGCTCGCGGCCCAGCTCGACGCGCGGCTCGACACCGAGAAGCAAGACACGCTCCTCACCTGGGCCGCTCGGCACGGGCAAGCCGAGGCGGTGCGGCTGCTGCTCGAAGCCGGCGCGAGCGTGGGGGCGACGAGCGGCACCGGCCGCGCCGCGCTGTTCATCGCGTGCCAGGAGGACTACCCCGAGATCGCCGCGCTGCTCCTCGAGGATGGCGCGGCGATCAACCAAGCCAACGTCAACGGCGTCACGCCGCTGTACATCGCGTGCCAGAAGGGCCACCTCGAGATCGCGCGGCTGCTCCTCGAGGCAAGCGCGGCGGTCGGCCAAGCCAACACCAGAGGCGTCACGCCGCTGATCGCCGCGTGCTTCCAAGGCCACCTCGAGATCGCCAAGCTGCTGCGCGACGCGGGCGCTTTGATCAACCGAGCCAGGGATGACGGCGTCACGCCGCTGTTCATCGCGTGCGCTCGGGGCCACGTCGACATCGTCCGGCTGCTTCTCGAGGCCAGCGCGGCGATCAACCAAGCCAGGGACAATGGCGCCACGCCGCTGTACGTCGCGTGCCAGAAGGGCCACCTCGACGTCGCCCGGCTGCTCCTCGAGGCCAGCGCGGCGGTCGACCAAGCCGATAAGGATGGCTTCACTCCGCTGTTCGTCGCGTGCCAGTATGGCCACCTCGAGTGCGCCCGGCTGCTCCTCGAGGCCAGCGCGGCAGTCAACCAAGCCGCAGAGGACGGCGCCACGCCGCTGTACATGGCATGCCAGAACGGCTACGTCGACATCGTCCGGCTGCTCCTCGAGGCTGACGCGGCGGTCGGCCAAGCTAGCACCAGAGGCGCCACGCCGCTGTACATCGCGTGCCAGATGGGCCACCTCGAGATCGCCCGGCTGCTGCGCGACGCCGGCGCTTCGCTCAACCAGGCCAACGCCAGAGGCGTCACGCCGCTGTACATGGCGTGCCAGAATGGCCACCTCGAGATCGCCCGGCTGCTGCGCGACGCCGGCGCTTCGCTCAACCAGGCCAACGCCAGAGGCGTCACGCCGCTGTACATGGCGTGCCAGAATGGCCACCTCGATTGCGTCCGGCTGCTCCTCGAGACCGGCGCGGCGATCAACCAGGCCATGCATGATGGCACCACGCCGCTGCACATGGCGTGCCAGAACGGCCACCTCGAGATCGCCCGGCTGCTGCGCGACGCTGGCGCTTCGGTCGACCAGGCCAACGCCAGAGGCGTCACGCCGCTGTACATGGCGTGCCAGAATGGCCACCTCGACGTCGCCCGGCTGCTTCTCGAGGCTGGCGCGGCGAAGGACCAAGCCCAGACCCAAGGCGCCACGCCGCTGCTCGTTGCGTGCCACCGGGGCCACCTCGAGGTTGCCAAGCTCCTCTCCTCCTATGGCGCCTCCCGCACCGCTACACCCTTCGGCACGCCCGAGGAGGCCGCAAACAACGAAGGCCACGCCGACCTCGCCGCCTGGCTGGTCGCCAGCCGCGGCTGGACGCCGCTCGCGCACCTTGAGACCCTCACCGCCGCCCGCGCGCTCTCCCTGCTGCGCAGCGGCGCAAGCCTGCACGAGGGCGGGCCGACGCCGCTGCAGCGCGCCGCGGGCGGCGAGGGCGAGGCGGCCGCGCTGATCCGGCGGGCGGCGGCGCCGTGGTCGCCGGCAAGCCACTCGCTCTTCCCCGCGGCGGCGCGCGAGTACGCGGTGATGGTCATGCGCATCGGCTACCAGATCGCGCTCTCTCCGCCCGACGGCGCCGAGGCGCGCCCGGACTGGAGCGCGCTGTCCGACGTGTGGCGCGAGCACGTGCTGCCGCACGCGGTGGCGCGCTGAGGCCGAGTGAGGACGCGAGTGCCACGCGGCGGCGCTGACCCGGCGGGCGGCGGGCGGCGGAGGCGGCGGAGGCGGAGGGGCAGGCAGCGTTTGAGCGTGTATCACGATCGACGACGCCACGCCACACGCGGGCGCGATCGACGCCTTGGAGGAGGAGCTGTCGGCGCTCGGCGCTTCGCCTCGCAGCGCTTGAGGTTGCCGAGGCGCCGGCGGCCGCTGCTCAGACGGCGGCAACGGCAGTGGGCGAGGTTTGAACCAC